AATAGCAGGTACCTAACGATACACTGAATCCCAGCTGCTGAAACAGCTCACCTAGCTTGCGAAAGCGCTGGTACTTGCGACCCCCAGAAAAGGGAGAGTTTGAGGAAATCAAAAGAAAAAGCGCAAATACAAGCGCAAGTTTGTATGCAATGTTTTCTCTTGCTTCTTTTTTCAAAATCAGTTCTAGAATCAGATATTCGGTGATGCAAGTTAAAAACAGGGTAAAGCTTCTATGAGCACTTCACATAGGCAAGAAAAAATTGTGATAATCTGATCTAATCTATATTGTCAGGAGAATTTTCAAAGAAGTGAACTTGTAGAATTCGAACCAATATATGATTTTTATGAAGCAAAGCGCACTTTCGGAGATGTTCCTGGCAAATAAGTCGAAGGAATGTCTTTTTCACATATTGTCGTCGGCCTCGTTTTGAGGTGTGAAGTTATAGTCGCGTTAATATTGCCACAGGGATTGTGAACTACATCGATTATTAAGGGTATTACTTAGGTGATTGCTGAGGCCAGCAGATTTATGGAATAGTATGATAAGCGCAATCATTTTTTTTTAAATTTCGGAAGATCTCGGATCTCATATAAAAGTTTCATTGAACTACTTATTTTATCATGTCAATGTTCTCTGCAGTGCCTTCTTGGAGGATCATAAATTCATATTCATCCCTTTTTCTAGCAACAAAATATGATCAATTTGGCCAACCAAAGTTATGATTTTTTGTAGCTCACTAAAAAGCGAAAGATATTGTAAAAATTACTCCCAGTAGAGTTTGATGCTTTTTCCTATTTCATTCTATCGGCACACACTCCATCAAAATTGGCTTCGAAATCGCTCTGTGATGCAAAACTTTCATTGACTGGAACAGAGCTAGTGCCTTTCCATAAATTATGGGTCACATAGACTATAACGTTCCGATTTTTGATGACAATTTCTCGTGGAAGCTCTTCTTCCAATAGGTTCCACTTCTCATTGTCAAAAAATGTATTTGAAGTAGTTTTTTGGAACAAAGGATTATTTCTCGCATTTAATTGCCAGCATCTGTTTATTGGAATTCAACAAAGTTTACTTTTTGAAATTGCTGACATTATCGATTAGATCCGATTATCACACTTTTTTCTTTGTGGAGTGCTCATAAAAGCTTCTTAAATTGAAAAAAGAGGCAATAGAAAAACGCTCCATGAAAACTTGCGCTTTCATTCGCGCTTTTTTCTTTTGATTTCCTCAAACTCTCTCTTTTCTGTGGGTCGCAAGCGCCAGCACTTTCGCAAGCTAGGTGAGCTGTTTTGGCAGCTAGGATTAGGTGTATCGTTAGGTACCCGCTGTTGAGCCACCAAGGGGCGTGGCTTAGTGTAATACCACTAATGGCTGGGTACCTAACGCCCGCATCTCGGCTGGGTACCTAACGCCCGCCCCACTATCCAGGCATGTCCAGGCAGGTACACCTTCTTAGCGAGCATATTCTTAGTTTGGATAAAGATTTTTCGCTCGGACAGGAAACTTAATTATTAGGTTGTTACGTAAGTCTTGTTACACTTAACTTCTAACGGCGATAAGTCATACACCTCACAGTCTTTGCAGGATTCCAAGGTACCATTCGATAGAGCAAAGCAAGCTCTACAAGATGGTCTGCAAAAGTTCGCACCAGCTCCGACCCACCGTAAGTTTGCACCCAAAATCTGAGTCGTACTGAAATTCAAAAAATCGCGAAAAATTCATATCTTTGTTCAAACAAATCCTACGGATCTTCAACTTGCTCACAAAAATTGCCCACTATATCAAACACTCATATGTACCGTTGCTGTATTTTTTCATTATCTAGAAATCGAGAAAAAGAATTTTTTTTAGTTTTCACAAAAATGAAGCTATGCTGTTTCTATTCATGTAGCTGTATACTACAAGCCCTTAGAAGTATGACCGTAAATTTTCAGCTTCCCAGAAGCCCTAGTTTTCGAAAATTACCTAATTTAGCATTGAACACCCAAGTGATAAAAGCTAAATTTGGTATTTTTCAAAAACCAGAGCTTATGAAAAGCTGAAAATTTACGGTTATACTTCTAAGGGCTTGTAGTATACAGCTACATGAAAAGAAACAGCATAGCTTCGTTTTTGTAAAAACTAAAAAAAAATCTTTTTCTCGATTTCTAGATAAGGAAAAAATACAGCAACGGTACATATGAGTGTTTGATATAGTGGGCAATATTTGTGAGCGAGTTGGAGATCCGTAGGATTTGTTTGAACAAAGATATGAATTTTTCGCAATTTTTTGAATTTCAGTACGACTCAGATTTTGGGTGCAAACTTATGGTGGGTCGGAGCTGGTGCGAACTTTTACAGACCGTCTTGTAAAGCTTGCTTTGCTCCATCGAATGGTACCTTGGAGTGCAAAGACTATGAGGTGTATGACTTATCGCCGTTAGAAGTTAAGTGTAACAAAACTTATGTAACAACCTAATAAATTCACTTTTTGAGGTGAGCTCATACATACATACATCTAAAACCATCTTGGAATGCTGATTCCAAATATGCTGTTACTAGGTGCTGAGATTCGCTTTGACTTTGACATCACTTTGAAGCAACTTATGGTCTTTCTTCTATGCAAAATTTGCGTGCTTATCGACTTGCTGCGCTACGGTGTTGACTCCCAGGTGATTTCAAAAGTGCACATTGCTCTCTTCCAAGATCGAAAGACCTAATCTGATGCTGGTTCGACATCCTAGGCACTTTCGAGCAGATTTCGTACAGACCGCCTCACTCTATTTAGAAGTATGTCAATTACATAGCAAACTCACAATTCGCTTGAGAATGGCGCTAAAGCTAGGAACAGCATATTTGGAATCGGCGTTCCAAGCTGATTTCAAACATATGTGTCTCATCTCAAAAGGCGAATAGTTGGTGTCTTTCCTCATAAGGAAAACGACGAAACCGATTGATACCAATAAAATAACTACTTTGGAACTTTTTCTTCACAAACCTTATGTCTTCCTTTGTATATAGCGATAGCTATTGATGCAAGTTTTAGAGTTCACGTTTCGACACAAAGATCCTTACAGTCTGACCCCACACAGATAATTTATGTAATTATTAGGTCGTATAAGTTTCATTTCTTCGAGGGGCGGTTGATCTGCGGCAAGGTGCGGATATTATTGAAGAGCTGATTATGCTCTTTAAAATAAACACTTACTTTCGATGAAAAGCTGATATGCTTTGGTTTTCCTGCCAGGGTCCGGCACAAGGTCGGCAAAAGGGGTTTTCGAAAACGAATTCCCCTTTGACCCAAAAATTTTTTTACGAATTCCCCTTTGACACCAAAAACGGGAGCTTGTGCTTGTGCAAGCAAGACTTAAGCAAAAGCAAATTATTTTATTGAAAAACTGCTAACAATTCGCAACAAAATAAGAAAAAAACCTGTTCGGATCACTCTTGGAGGTCTAATAATAAGGTAATAACAACAAAACTCCTATGCAGCGTAGTTCCCCCCCCCCCCCCCTCAAGACTGCGACTATGCGATGAGAAGCCTTCAAAAATCTGAAGGCCAATATGTGTGAGTAACAGCAATCGAGTCTAGTGCTCCAACCAAGCCAATGGGCTCCAACCCTTCTCCTCTCGTAGTCGCGAAAATCGCTGCATTCAATATACTATGTGATCAAAAAGAGAAGAAGCTGCAGAAAAACCTATCGATGAGGGTAAGGAAATTTGAGCATGAAAAAATCAAAATTGGTGTAAGACCAGTATTTGTGTCCGAGGTTCTCATGCGAATGTCCCCATTTTCATACATGCCTCCTCCTAAAACAATGTATGACAAAAATGGATATCGAAGGAGCATAAAAGACTGACAACCTTTTTATTTGCTTAATACCCGATCTACTCCGTACTTTCCATGTGGACTCGTCCAAACAATTCAGAAAAGCTTTATTACAAGACAGAATTACGGGCGATTGTCTGAAAATCTGGCGTTGTGTACGACAAAAGTTCCCACTCCTCTAGTCTCAATAGTTCTCTTCTCACTGATAGTGCGCATCGCTAAGATTACTGCACCTGGAGGGGGAAAGCAGAAAAGCAGTTTGCGTACACTTTTATCTTTAAAATCAGCAACATTTGATGAATGAAATAATGCCAATGAACAGATATCAACTCACACTTAGATTAAGAATATTGACCGCTAGCTCTACTGATGGATATTCATTAGAGTAGGAAGTTGCAACATTCTACTGACACTTATTCGTGAATTAGATGGTATTACGCCAACTATTTTAAAAAACCGTTTGAACTTTATCTATCAAGCTTCGAATTTGATCATTACAAATGCACATTTATTGCTTAATTTGAGATAACTACAACTCTTTCCAGAAAAGAGTTGTAGTTATCTTGGGCCTTGCAAAATGGGAAATATTACGACAATTGAAACTCCGGCGAAATAAAGTAGCGTTCTGTACCTCTAGCGAAAAAACTTTTCGTTTCTAAACAATTTACTTCAAAATGTAGTAGGCAAAAAATTTAGTGCCCAGTTTAGGCAATGCTGTCGATCTCTGCGGAAAACAGCTGCTTTGCTTCCTCAAGAGTGATATGCTTTTGAACTTTACTGAGCCTCACCGTTTGTTTTTGCTACTTACAAACGGCTCGAATTTGCGTTACTTCTCAGTTTCAATACTCTGTACACAATTTCCCATAAAAAATGATGCGCGGCCTCAAAGCCATTCGCCTCTTTCTACTGGATGAGCAAGAAGAGCAAGCAGGAAGAAGAACCCATCAACATGGGTGCATGGCAACGCCCACAAATTGGGCGCTGCTGGCCATTAACACCCGCGCGCCACATGCATCAAGTGTCTGAGTAAGGAAATGTCGTGCACATGATTTAAACGAATACTATGTAGTATGAAATGTAAGTAAAACTCCGAAAAAGAAAAAAAGAAGCAAAAGAAACAACAAGAAAGAAATTACAACGAAAGGTGAAACTGAGTTTGAAAAGAGCTGAAACCAAACTAGACGATCCTTAAGTAATAACCTCGCCAATAGACGTGCCCTCTAGGCGTGAAATGACAAGCTTGGCTGCTTCAACATCGATGTCAACTCCGACAGCTCCGAGGATGTTTTCCAAATCTTCAAGCTAAAAGGGAAAATTCAAAACTGTTCAATCAAACTTTTCTGCTGCTTACCTTGGGCAGTTCACTTCCACCAGCAAGGGCGAAGAGGTAGGCAGAAACGTAGTGCATTTTACCTGGTACGCGAGATTCGGAACCTGTAACACCTAACTCTCTGAGATTGCAAGATTGCGAGATTCGGAACCTGTAGCACCTAACTCTGGAACCCGTAACACCTAACAAACACAGAGTTAAGGAAAAATGGAAGGTGAGAAGCTACACGAAAGAGAGTAATGCAAAACGAAAGTACATGTGATTTGCACTACCTCGTCAAAAGCTTCGTTCCTTCCAGGCTGTTCCAAGGAATCCCCACTTGTGTTCATTCCAGAAACACCATTTTCGTCATAGAAGTAGATTATTTACAAAACTGCAAAAAGACAATTGCGCACACCATCTAGGAAACGAGAATGATCACCTTTTTCTTGTAAGCAATTTTCTAACAACATGCAGGATTTGAGAAATGCGCACATTCAACTGCATTGCACATTCAAGGTAATCTCAATGGAGAAAGCTTGCAAAGTACAGCGTATACTTAAGGGCTCAGACGAAGTTCACGCGATTTAATCGTCGCGATTCAATCGCCGCGATCAGCATTCATTTCCATGTTACATTCAAAAATTTCGGGCTGGAAAAGTATCACAACCGAAATGCAAGCTGGTCGGCATGCAATGAACTCGTAACAGTTGTCTTGTCGCGATTGAATCGCGACGATCAAATCGCGTAAACTCTGCCCGAGGCCTAAGGCAACAAATCTCATAATCAAAGTTGTTGGGCTCAGCTGCAATTATCGCGGTTTTATATAATGAAAACTGCGGCAAGCTAATAACAACATCAAGAGACGAAAAAGTTTAAAAAAAGGCAAAACTTCAAGAACGATAAGAAATGATAAAACACCAGAAACGAACTATACCTCGAAGTCGCGGCTGACTTCACTTCTTGGAGTATCTAGCATACTTTCAGACGATCTATTGGAATAAATAGATAATCCTGCTAGAAGAAGGCAGGGTCGATCGATGAGAAGGAATGAATGGTGAAGTAAATGCGATGACGAATGATAAGCTCCGAAAACTACCTTCAGCGCTAGGCAGGGTTGCTGTAAGTAAGAATTAGGTAAAGGTTGCTGCAGGTAAAAGCTATCGTCGTCGCTTTCTTCCTCCAGACGACAATTACCGTATACTAATCTTTAGGCGTACAGTAGATTTATGTAAAATTTTTGAAAAAATTATGTGAATTGAGAGTTTTGCCAACCTCAGGTGGGAATTAGTTAAGCACGCTCTTCATTCACATAAGTTTTTCATAATATTTCATACTTTATTACTTAGTCCTATTGCGGATATACACACCGAGTCCCGCGCGATTTCGTCTCCTTTGCGTTGCAAACGAGCCATTCTTCCATTTTCTTGGTAGTGGGAAATTTTCAGACAAAAGCTTGCCACAACATTCAGTCACTTAATTTTTCAATGAAACTTCTAAGTTAAGCCCTGCAGGCCCGCGTCCATCTAACTACCAAGTTTCATACCATATCGTCATCTGTGCGCTGTAAACGAGCCATTTGAATTCACATCTTCATTTACCTGTTTTGCAAAACTTTCGGAATAAATGCTTATTACTCGTTCCGTTCACATAAGTTTTTCATAATTTTTCATGCTATGCTTCCACTAGCCTCTCTGCGTTCGCTTACAAAATTTGATGCCATATCGTTACGCATACATTGAGAATTAGTCATGTATGCTGCAACAAATAGCACCGTTTAAACGACGTCGCGCGCGCGGCAGTTAGCGACGGCGCGACGTGACGCGCTCGAACTCTGCTGTGCCTCTATTGAGGCAAGTTGAGATAGCATGACATGCTGAGTGAGGCAACGGCTGTGGAAAATTGACCACTCAGAGTCAGTGTAACGCTATTCGCTGCTCTTTTTTTGCATAGTAGACATTCTGATAAAATTGTAACGCTATGATATTTCATTCTATGCAGTCCAGATGAGAAGGGCTCAGCTTTGCCATCGTAACCATCAATTTTTTTCCGAGGCTCCGCCCCGGACCCCGCAAAAACGATTTCCCCTTTGCTTTTTGGCCCCAAAACGATTTCCAGCTTGTCATTTGCCGACCTTGTGCCGGGCCCTGTTTCCTGCTCCTAAGGAAAGATTTCTCAAAGGGCAAAAAAGAAGCATTTTCAACACTTGCTCATTTTTTCTTAGTAAAAGAAGCATTCTGGACATGTTTTCTGCCGATTTGGACGGTGGTGTTTTCTCGACAATATGAGACAAAAAAATGGAGTGCTTTGACAAAAAGTTTTCAGGGTGTCCCCTGAACAAGACCTTTTGCAGATTGTGCAGGAGCTTTTGTCCTGAAAATTGTATTCGCTAGGCAAGATATAGACGGTGCCCATAACGTACGCAACCCGACTACACATTGAACAAATCCCTACTGTAAAAAAGGCCTTATTAATAAGTCCAGTGAGCTTTTTGCGCGACAATACTTGGCTTCCTACGGCAACCGTCGTCATAGCTGTCTTGCAAGACTTGACCGGAAGGCACATTAGCATCCAATGCACTCTCGAGATCTCGCTCTACCATATTATCGTCTGTTCCAGTCTATCACATTTCTACGAACGGCGTCTGTATTTATGGTACTTTTCCGTTATCCGGACCCATTTTTTCAAAAGGCTCTCATAATATACGTTTTTTAGTCTAAGAATAATTTTTTATAGATTCTACGAGAGACTGCCTCGCCACGTGTCACAAAAAAATTGACACGCTTTGGTTCCCGGTGAAATAAAAGAGAATTTGTGATCATTTTAAAGCTGTTTAACTGTTTTACATAAGCACAAAACAATCATGACCTTATTGTATTAGGGTGAACGGTAAAAAGTGGGACACTTACGAAATAACTGGAGGTTTCTCAAGAGTGAGAAGCGATTAGACTTTCCAATTTTGATAGATGTTAGATTATGTTATTCTCTTGCAGATAATACCTATATAAGGTCATTTACATAATTAATAACTTTTATACTTACTGAAATGCAAAATCAGTCACCTCGATAAATTATGAAGTTTGAGCAGTATCTGCGCAGTGAAACATGTGAAACCACCCAAAGTACCACTGCTGGAGTGGGTGGTGGGACAGTCACTAAATCCACTACGGCTTGGTGGCCTCAGCTTGCAAAGTCAGGAGATATAGCCATTAGCAGCTTTGAGAACATAGATACGCGTTATTCAATTCCTTCCAGGTGAATGCATGTTTTCTAGGTACCATCTGATAGAGCTTTTTACGTTCTATCCATCCATTTGCAACTTACCTCAGATTTTATCTATCTTCGGAAAATATAGGGCGAAACAGGATTTTTTTGGTTTTTTATTGCGCCAAAAATAGCCACTTTTCAAGTTTTTTCGCTTTTTTTTCTAAAATTGAAAAAAAGTCTTATGCATTTAACATATCATTTGAAAGAGCATGAAAAGCTCTTTCGAATGGTATGTCATATACTTGACGACCTTACGGTATAGCAGCGCAAGATTGAGAATTGTTCCAAAGACCCTGTCTGAGTTCTTCACGGCGCCACGCGTACGGTTATGAGAGAGGAGCGGTAAAGCGTTGCCAGAATAATAGGCGAAGGTCGTTTATGTAAGCGACATTTAAGTTGTAGCCTGTTGTTGTTGGTGAGAACAAAAAACCTCAAAATGTTAAAAAAAATCAAGCTGTCCCATTTTTTACCGTTCACCCTAATAGAACATCTTGCTTGCTTTGAACAGTGATTCACGAATGTACTGTTCTTCAAACCCTTTTCGCATGCGAATTTAGCCGAAAAGACTATGAATGACAGCCTAAAGTAGTGGCTGCTACTTATATCGCCTCTTAAACGACGGAATCCCAGCGCACTTCTCTATCCTAATCTGTTCATCGATGATAGTATATCGTTATTGTTATGACAAAATTCACCTTGAAACTGTTTGGTCGAAATGAGGTCAAAATTAACTAAAAAACAGATTAAATTTACATCGTCAGGCAGGGTAACAGAAACTTTTGGTAAAACCTGTCATGTAGATGACATGTCAAATGTTTTTGGCACATGGCAAAAGGTTAACACTCCTTCCTGTGAAGCTGGGACAAAATATGGTACAAGGATAAAAGCAATATCTTTCTTTAAAAAATAGGTCCAGGAAATGGAAAAGTAGCGTTTTGATAGACAATCTCAGGACGACTTTTTTGGGAGTTTTGGAAAAACGAATGAAAATGTGATGGCATGGCGGTAGAAGGTTGCGAGCAACAACGGAGCAAACAATGCTGACTGATTGCCAAAATTTTGTCATTTCGTTGCTTGTCAAAACGAACTTATGAAACGACCTAATAGTTCGTTTCACTAGGAAAGTCGATGTTATGCCAAAGTTGTTCCATACAAAGGATGTTTTTACCTTTAGCTCTGGACTTTACAGCTCAGCATTCTGCATCCAGCCCCTGAATTATGGAGATCGACGCTCTTTTAGTTCTCCCACTAGCCGTTGGTACTACGATTCCATTACATCATCGTATCAGACGTTTCCGTTCAGCGGTGCTGGAGGCAACTCAAACAATTTTTAGAGAGCTCTGCGAATCCTACTGTCTCACAGGTTTGTGGATACACAGTTACAGCGTTTTTTTGAGTTATGAAGAAGAATGACTTCTCTGCTAGAGCTGCAGGATGAGCTTTAAATGTTGAGTAGAACACTATTAGCAACAAGCTTCACAAGATGATTATCAGAAATATCAGCTGTGTTTTATGAAGTTGAAGAGTAAGAAGATTTGAGTGCCTCTGAAAGTCCAATCTAAAATCTCTTGAAACCTCCAGTCAGTCATACGTTTGGTACAGTGCAGGCTTTACGTTCCGCGGGGTGGGGGGGGGGGGGAATTTGTTCCAAATGAAAGGGCCACGTAAGCCACGCACTCTGATTTTTTTGGGATGCTTCTCAGAATTTTTGTAAGCCCATAACGCGTAAAATCTAGAAGAAGGGGGCATGGCTACCGCTTAGAAAAATCTTTTTTCAAGCCTAATTTTTATTTCTAAAAAGTCGAAATCATTTTTATTTACCAGAAGAAGCAAGTCATTTGCTCATTTTTTTCATTTT